TTGAACTAATGAGAGAGGTTGTTGTTTCTGATGGGCTGCTAAATACTGATAACGGAGCTGATAAATGCTCTGTTATCGGGGGCGGATGGACCCCTCCCTAATCAGAGTGTCATGCTGGGGCCTGGCCATACCCCCCTTCAGCTTAGCACTGTGGAAGAGTAGGGAGGGCTGCTCTAATGCCCCCCAGCTTCTGGCCTGAACCATTGCAGGCATGTGCCTGAATTCCCTCAGTCCAGAGGGGATGTCTGTGTGGCTACAAACCAGTTCAGCCTAGCCAGGTTAGACTAACCTGCAAAGATTGAATCAATTCAGGCTCAGGCTTTTTGAATATCTGTCCTTACTCTTCAAGGTTAACAGTACTTTAGACACTGGATTGCTATATGTCTGCCTTTTTCAGTGGTATAAGACTGATGGTATGCTAACCTCGAAAAGGTTGTGAGAGACTGGATATCAATCCTATCAGTAGTTCACATCTGAATGTTGCCCATTTCCATGTTTATGGGTGAAAGGTAACACTTCCATGGAACTTTTTTAAAAGGGTAAAACTGTTCCTGTGTATTCAGAATATAGATGTTGGAAAGCCCCTGAGGAAAAAATAGTTTAATGAACAAATCACAGGTTGGCCTGGTATATTAGGATGAATTATTTCTCATACATTCCCACAATAGGATGCACACTATCAATTACTACTTCTTGGAAATAGTCCACCGATATTCCAGTTTCCATTTTTATCAAAAAAGTTGTGTAAGACTCACTGACTAACTGGCAACCTGGCATGGGATTGTTCCATCTTAATGACAGTAAATGATCAGGGCCTTAAGACTCGTGTAAAAGACCATTTGCAGGATTGAATAACCAATTGGGCCAGACCCTAAAGCCCTCCTTGGTCACTGCTTATTCAGGAAACCTCCTCTTTGACATAAGGATGAATTTTTCAAGAGTTGAAAATTGCAAGATTTGGCCCATAGATGTTAATTTATTGCATACTTCAGCAATCACTGAGACAGAGACATAATGTAGGCATGCATCTACAATACTTTTCCAGCGTCATTTCCAGGATTTCTGATTCAAAACTCCCACTCTTTCCTTTCATCCCAAGAAACTATAGTTCATTATTATTTTTTGTTTTACTATAAGCAGTGCTATAGTAGTGGCATTTTGCTAATTTCTCTAAAAACATATACTGAGAGATGATCAATGCCAAAAAGCTTAGCACATATTTTTAAGACAGGATGCTGGTAGTAAGTTACATTTTTTCCAGTGGGCCCCCACTAGTAAACACACAAGTTTTTTATTATAATGGTACGTTCTTTTGACTCACAGTGGAGTTAGAGATAATTAAAAATGGCATTAATATTCATACCAATTAAAATTACTGGGGCAAACTACATTTTTTAAAACTATGGTTTGCAAATCATTAAGTTCTTTATAATTACAGCATTCATTATTGAGCATTCAGACAGTTGTACAATGCAATTTCATAGGAAACCTATTTTAATTTAGTAGTAAGTCAGTGTTTTAACTTAATGTCAAAGGAGTCATTAATTTACTAAGCATTTTTCACTTGCCTTTTTTTCATCCAGGTTTGCAACTTTATCAGTTGACTGGACTTGTCTTATTTTTCTTTTTAATTAAAAAGTACTCATTTATGGTTAGGGTTGTCTAAGGGGGAAAATGTCCTTTAAAAATAACAATGAAAGCTGAATGACATGTTTTTGATCTTTTTTTTTTGTAAAAATGTTGTTTCAAAAGCTGAAATATTTTGAGGTGATGTCTGTGTTTGAATCATATTTTCATCCAGAAAGTTTGCTAATTCTGGTCGCTTCTGGTGAGAGTGAGAATTTTTAAAAAATTTGTGTGTGGGGGGGAAGTTGCTTTAAAACAAAAAAAAAAAAAGAATTTCTATGCTTCTGTTTCATTAAAACAGTTGGAAGTTTTTTTCCCATTCCACAGTGGGGGGAAAAACACTTTTGAATGTTCAAAACTGTGATGAAACAATATTCCTGTTCTTCAGTCAGCTCCGATCCAGCCTATACATTTATAGCCAGATGTTGTAAATTGTTCTGCATGGGCATAGGTGCTTGTTCTGGCTGAACACTTGACAGGATTGGGACATTAAATATGATTTTGTAGTGTTGCCTTTATTTATAGAAATAAGACTTGGGCAAAATATATTCCAGTTTGGGAATTTACTGAGCTCAGGAGATACTGGTAGGCATCAAAGACATTTGTGTGATTTAGTTTTAATTAGAGGAGAGTTCATTAAAATTTTATTATGTAATTCTGCTTTGAGAATTGAAGGAGAAGTGATGCATGAGATAAGTTGGTCAGTGGCACTTGCATGTATGTCCTTTTTTGGGGGCCAGTGAAGGTTTCATCAGGAGGAGAGATGCTTGAGACAAGTTGGTCAATGGTGCGTCCTTTCCCACACCAGGTGACTGAGCCATTGTATTTGAACTGGTTGGATAGAGGCTTTGTAATTACCAGGGATCCTGATTTTCCTCTGGTTAAAAATTGTGAATTCTATTATTTAAACCCCCACATCCCTCCTGGTGACCCTCACTTTCCAACCAAACCCTCCTGGTACCCCTCACTCCCCACTTACAACCCCCTAGCCCTGCCAGTGCACCTTGCTCACTACCCCGAGCTCCCCCCACCCCTCGCTGGTGCCCCTCACTTACCACCCACAGCCCCCTGGACCCTGCTGGGGCCCCTCACTTCCCACCCAGTGCCCCAGCCCCGCAGGAGGGGGCCAGTGACCTGAGTTCACAGCCCCCTGCTCTACCCCCAGCAGCCCCTGAGCCCCAGCTGCTGGCTATGGGAGGCAACAGCTGCTTTCTCCTCCCCTGTGGGAAGCACGGCTGGAGTGGAGCTTGTGTGGGGAGTGGATGCAGGCTGCCCGCTGCGGGTTTACCCTCCCTACCCTGCTGCTGTCCCCCCTGCTGCCCCGTGCACGAGACCTGGTGCAGCAAGGCAGAGCGGGGTGGAGAAGCTCGATGTTGCTGCCATGAGACAAGTGCTGTTATGATGAGGCATCCCCTGGCCACCTGGCAGCAGCAAGAGTGGTAGTGTGGAGTTGTGTCTCCCGCTGCTGCTGGGTGAGCAGGGGGTACCTTGCCATGGCAGCATGGGGCTTGTGGCAGCAGCATCGAGCTTCTCTGCCCCACTGGGTCTCATCCTATGGGCTGTGAAGGCCCCAGGGGGAGGGCACCAAGGCAGGGAGCCCTGAGCACATGGTGGGCAGCCTGCACCCACCCCATGCACAAAGCTGGGGGGCACATGCTCCCCCATTACCCTTCCCCTCAGGAATACATGCAGTGGTGGGAAGCCAGCCCTCTCGCTGGCCCCTGGACAACCCAGCCGCGGCTCTGTTCTGCTCCCCGCTCAGGCCTTGTGGCCATATTTCCTGCTGCGGCCCTGTGCCCAAACCCCACAAACCACCCTGGCTGGGCAGCAACTCCGGCCCCACCCAGCTGCCTCCTTCCCTCCCTCACCACTGGGGCCTCAATTCCCCCTCCACCCCACTCCCCAGACTTACCTGTGGGAGCTTCTCTCCAGGCTGCCTGGTGGCCATATGCAGGTATATATGTTCACAGTCATGTGGTGCCCTTACCTGATCACCTTCTTCCAGCTCCCCACCAGCCCCTGTTAGGCTGGAACTCTGGCAGCCTGCAAGGGGAAACCCACTGTTTCCTGCATTTAAAAAAAAAAGGAAATCTGGGTTTTTCTCCTTAAAATGAGAAAATCCAGGTTTTACCACATTTTTCCACGGTGAACAGAAAACCCGGACCCCTGGTAATTACTGAGGAATGTCTCTTATGCTAGGAGGAACAGTTTCTTTAAGCAGGATTATGCACCTGTGCAGCAATAGGCCAAACTTGTTGCATGGTCCTGCTGGCAGTAAGAGCAAAATCATGTTGTAGCAGGTGAGATGAACAATTCTTGGCATTGGTGCCAGGAACTCAACTTTCCATGATAAGTAGCTATGTTTTCTTTCCTGGAAATCTGTGTGTCTTTGGAAGAAGCTCACTCTGACATTGTGCCAGAAACACCTTTGATTGTCCCAAGGCAGGCTGGGTAGACATTTTGTTCACTGCAGACTTAGATTTCATTGTTCTGTTGCATATATTCTTTACAAGGCAGAGCATTGCCTTGGGCAGTTGTAGGGCATTGATTCATTTCAACTATGTTACCTCTTGAGCTATTTTTTATTTGGTTTTAATAAGGTATTCACTGCCTACTTACAAATGATTAACAATGCGATGTAAACATGTAAATAATTAGAATAAATGTGAAGCCTGTTGACAGATGGTTGTGGGGATGGGATTCATCAAAGAAACAGATGCAAGTAAATCCCCTCTCCTTTCTCACCTTAACTCAATTATATTTATGTTTTAAAATTAAACAAACCAATGTGTAGTATAAAGTGAGCAAACAAGTAACCTCATGAGCTGATACCACCTATGGGTCAGGAACAGGTTACATTATTGTTAATGGAGTTTTGCTATTGGTTTCGTTAGTAGGTGGACTGAAGGATCAACCTTTCTCTCAATCCTGTTGTCTGTTCTGTAGTCTTATTTTGCCAGGTTGTGCCTCACCTAGCTCTTAGGCTAGACTCCTGTAAGTAAAGGTTTATAGGATCTGACCTTTAGATTGTACCTTGAGGTAGGGACTTTGAAATTGCTCCAGAACAATATACTGTGTAAATGACTTCAGTAGAATTATTCTGACAAACTTGTATCAGGGTCATCCAGCAGAAAGAGGATGGGCCAAATTTGCAAGCTTTTGGGCACACTTACCCTTCCTCAGGCATAGGAGAATGCAAAGATTGTAAAATTTATTCTACATGAGTTGCCTAACAGAAAGCAGAAGTGTGCACAGTAACAAGAGAAAGAAATAAGGCACATTTCCCAGGCTTAAAATTGGGAGAGGGATTGACACATACCCTTGACTGCCATACCCTTTAACTTTAAATTCCTTTCTGTCTCTCTTCACTGCAGGACCAGGTTTCTTCTGTGGGCACTGGACTTCCAGCTACCTATGCCTATTGCCTGTGATGGAAGAACTTGATGTTAATGTGAGGTAGGAGACGGGAAATTTGCTGACTCTTGAGCCACAGGAGGTCAATAATGACACAGTGTGTTTGCAAAGCTGCAGGGTCTGTATCTTTCTGTTTGCCTGTGGTCTAAGGTTACTGCTAATACAGCACTATTTGATTTGGAGTTTCCTGGAGTTTGCATGATTAGGTAGTCTTACTCTGTTAGTTTTTAAAGTGGAAGTGAAGTGTGATGAATCTCACAAACTACAACTCAGGTCCTTCCCAGAGGTAACATCAAGGTAGCTTTATTGAAACCAAAGTAAATCAGTTTACTCTCTCTGAGAATCTGTTCCTTGGTTTTTTGTTCAGTATGATCTTCTAGAAATGCCGGGGTGAGTCAGAAATAACAGAGCCAAAATAACAGAGCCAAAATAACAGAATATACTTTGTCTGCATATATGTAATGCCCTGGAAACTGAAGGAATCAGAACTCATGGCAGAGGTGATACCTTTTATTAGACTAGCTAGATATTTGCAAAAAAAATTCTTTATTTGCAAGCTTTTGGGCACACTTACCCTTCCTCAGGCATAGGAGAATGCAAAGATTGTAAAATTTATTCTACATGGAAATGAAAATTCATACTTCACAGGAGAGCTGAAAGTGTTGTAAAATATCCTGGTTGGAATAGTTCATTTTGTGCAAATTAAGCTCAGATAAAAGTTGGAACAGTCGATTTACCTCAATGTTGTCAGGTCAGTTGAAGTAAATAAACCTATTCCAACATTGAGGAACAGTATCTTTTCCATTTCTTTATGTTTTAGTTTATTTTTTTCAAAGCAGCATTTCTCTGAACTGTTCCCTTACATTTACTTGCCAGGATACTGAATGACAGGTATCTGAGAAATTCCACTGAGCAGACTGATCAAATGCAGGTAGATCAAATGCACGTGTTCTCATTTTCCAGGAAGTATTTCCTCAGTGAGTTGCCTAACAGAAAGCAGAAGTGTGCACAGAAAGAAATAAGGCACATTTCCCAGGCTTAAAATTGGGAGAGGGATTGACGCATCATTTAGCTATGTTAAAAGAAAGCATCCTGTTGAATAAAAGAGGAGCGGACGTAAGGGAGTTTTCTTCACTGGGCACTTTTTTCTTCTCTAGTGCAGAGGTAAAAGCAGAGGGTGCTTCCATGGAGGCAAATGGAGTTATACCAGGATAAAAACAAGCACCAGCTATGCATAACTTGAGCACCTGTTGTTGGAGGAGGAAAGTATGAAACTAGAATCTATTCAGAAACTTCGTGTCTTCATCTTTTCCTTTGGGATTGAAATAATGATTTCTTGGACCCTCTTTAGATGAAGTGTTCATTGCCTAACTCTGTTGCTATTGGTGATCCCACTGGTAAACCCTGCCATCTCAGATTTCTTGTTCATGGACTTGGGGCAAGATAATTACTTCAGCAAATCATCCCAGTCTCACAGGCTGTGTAGGAAGATGTGAATGTAACTACGTCTCAAAGGCAATTTCTATTCTATAAAGACTCATAACAGGCTTCATTTTGGGAGCTTGTCCAACACCGTCAAATAGAATGTTTATGCTCCTCACTCGTGTCCCCATATATCAGATACTGTCGGGCCCCATAATATACTGCCCTTGACTGCTGCACAGCTGACATGGTTAGCAAATCAGAGAGTTCCATTATATATGTGTGTGTATGTGTGCGTTACACACGTAATGGAACTCTCCCATCTGTTGCCCATATATACATGTATACATACACATGCATACATATGTATCCCACACCACAAATACAGTTGTGGCAGGCTGGCCAGTGGGCTCACCGGCAGCCCGGATTGTTAGCGTGAGCCTGAAATGGCTCAGGCCAATTGGTGGAGCATTCCACCGATCAGGAGGAAGCAGGAGGCAAGCTTGCCCCATCCTGACCCAGGCGTGGGGTGAAGAAGAGGACCTGAGGGGGAACTAACCCCTCAGGCTTTCCTACTGGGCCATTTTCAATTTTCAAGGGATAAAAACCCACGTGTCCAGCACACGGGGAGCTGTTGGCAAGGGACGATGAAGACAGGGCTTGTGAAGAGCTGGTAGAGTTGACCAGCGGGGCAGAGCAGTTGCCCTAGAAGTGCCCCAGAAGACTCTGCCGCCTAGCAGGGGGCAGCAAGAGGCTATGTCCCCAGCCCCACCATGGAGGGAGCCATGGCATTGGTGCACAGATCAGTGCATGGAGGGTCTGGGAGCAGACGGGACCTCATGGCTGCATGAGGTAGTGCAGGTCTCCAACCCTGCACAAGGTAGGAGCCCAGCCTCATCAGTGCACAGAGTGGTGCACAGGGCTGTTGGAGAGCTAGAAGGGACCACAGCAGCTGCATGAGGCAGTGCGGGTCCCCAACCCTGTGCAAGGCAGGAGCTGGGTCATTGGTGCACAGATCGGTCCACAGGGCTATAGAGCTGACAGGTCGCTGCGGCTGCATGAGGCAGCGCAGGTCTCGGTGCATAGCAAGCTGAGAGAGGGCCGATAGGCCTTGGTGACTGCACCAGGCAGCTTGGGCCTTACTCCCACGAGCAGTGACTGGACGGGTCGACCACCCCTGCAAGGGAGAACACTGAGAGTTGCGAGTTACCCGGAAAGGGGATTTCCACAGGGGAGGAGGGGCGTTCCTCACTGCGGGGGATCAAGGGGAAGCACCTGAGGGGTGGGGACAATTTGACCTTGGGCACAGAGGGGAGTCTAGGACCCCCCTGTTTGTTAAAGGTAGTATCATAGTTACGTGACCTGGGAGAGAGTAATGATGTTTTATTAGGTAACGGGATCTTTCCCTGGGTTGCCATTTTTCCTTTGGGCACAGCTGCTGTGCCATTGTTGTGGTCTGGTTCCTCACACTGTTGGGATTCCTGTTGTAACCATGCGTTCTTCTTGTTGTACTGTAAAGGACTGTAAGCTGTTTTATATCTGAACTTACTGTATGGATTATTTGTATATATGTGTGTTTCATTTGATGTAACCTGATTGCGTATGTACAATTCTTGTCCTATCATTGCCAGATATTCTTGCCATTGCTTGTTGATTAACCTGTGTTTAATCATTAAGTGCTCCTTTGCTTGCTGCCTGAAGTGAGCCCTGTCGAGGGGGGCAGAGGCTGCAGACTAACTGGAAGGCCACAGAGGACTAGGCCTGTGCCTGAGTCAAGGGTTAACAAGAGCTATTGCCTGTGTAAACCTATATCTATAAATAGCAGGTGTATATGTAGAAAGACAGACATATGTACATAAGTTCATGTTTGCAAGCTTTATATAATGCCATATCATTAAACCTGTAAATAGTTAAATATCACTGGGTGTCCCTGGTCTCGAGGCAGCTGTGCTGGAAAAGGAGGCGAGTTGGCCTGCAGCTGGGCAGCCACACTCCCCACAGTGTAACGCATCCACTGAATCCCTTCAGTTGGAGAGGGGGTACCTTCTGCGTACCACCTGGGTTACACAGTCAGTTTGGGTCTGACCCAAAGTACATTAAGTAAAAGGAAAGACTGCCATTGACTTAACAAGGATTTGACTTAGAGCCCTGTTGCACGGGACTTCTAGCATGCATTTGATTTAGGTTGTAAGCATTACCACGCTGCATTAAAAGTTAGAAAATGGTCTGAGCAGTCACATGGTAATGTTTTCTCTGATCTCTGACATGATCTCTAATACAATCTCTCTTGCACAGCTGGCTGATTGTCAGTCCCAGCCCTGGCACCGCACAGGACCTGGTTCAAAACTCAGTGCGGGGCCAGGTCTGGGACTGACAATGGAGGCTTTGTACATCAGAAGGGTCCCTGACAGATGTCACGGCTGGGTGAGGATGGCAGAATGTGCAACAGTCTGATGATAGCTGAGCATATGTAACTTAATAAAATTTGAAGATAGTCCTCCCATGAAAAGCCCTAGCTTTGCTATGATACAATTGCACTTAGCATGTTTTACTGCTTGAACATGCAGATGCTCATATTTTAAGTTCATTTAACATGTCCTAAGTGTACTGTGAGACTAGGCCCTTCGATGGTTTACTGGTTTAGGGAAAAACACCCAAACTCTTCTACTTCAATCAATACTTCTCTTTATTCCTCTTTTGTCCAACTCTGCAAATGTTTTCGGAAATCAGTACTTTAATGAATACTTAGCAGGTCACATTTATAACCTGGCAATCGATACTGAGAGGTAATGTGTTTTGCTTAATGAAATTTGTCTTGCCTTTGCTGTGCGAGTTGTGAACCACAGTGATTATTGCTATTTCTCTCTCCCTATAAAGGGAGTTAGAGTGCTGACACCAGAGAATTTCTTTATTATCCATATCTCCTGTCTTTGAAAGATATCAGAAAGCATCTCCAGTTATTGGCTGTTAGAAGTAAAAAAAATAAAAAGGAAAATATACCACTAACTTTTCAACATTTAAGTGTTTTTTTGCCCTTCACTGCAATGATAACTGTGGAAATTGCTGAATAGTGATAGTTTTATTAGTATCATTTATTAGTTATTAGCATTTGCCCACCTCTACTCATGACCTGACCAGATTGCTCTTGTGGTAGCACATCTACGCCTCTAAAAAAAAGTCTAAACTAAAATTGACACTTTTTTTTGCTGAGTAAAAAACAAACAGCAGATTATTCCTACAAGAATTAGATTTTGTAAATCCCTTGTCTCTCTCTTATGGAATTTACAACATTTTAAAATTAAATTTGTAATCTAAATAAAGTAGAAAGTAGCTCTTTAAAGAAGTGACTGGAGCTCATGCTCCTTCAGAAATGCTCTCAAAAGCTTATTATTACTTGAAAACTAAGTATTTTGTGCAGTGAGCTAATTTTGTCTCATCCAGGTGAAACTGGAAGGATATCTGATGAGAGAATTTTCATTCTCACCCAGTAAATCATCCTTTTTGTCGTTCAGTTGTTAAAAGACAGCAGAAAGCAATTTTTCCTCTTTCCGTGGGAATCTGAAAACTGTCCTAAAAAAATATTCATTTAATGTTTGCCAGTTGGTTTGATCAGTTTGACT